CTAGAACAAGAGAGCGGTATAATGAATAGCTTTCCTGCTTCAGATTGCTTCTTTGCCTTCCATCATGGGTTAAATATTAGAATATCATGAAAAATGTTGTTCAAGGGTGTTAGTATAAATTTTACCTATTTACAAGTAAGTCAAAGGGTGCATTATTACTTTATAATAGGACTACCTACAATTTTAATTGAAAGAGTAAACTCAAAGATGTAATTAAATTTATGTACAGCTTTCTTAGAACAAATCTGTTGTATAATATAATATACAATTATAAATGGGACTTAGATTTTTATAGCAAATTTAATCATAAAACTCATTATTCAGATGTGGTTCAAAGATACTGGTCAAAAATACCCTTTAACGATCAGAATATGAAATCCCACAGGCATAGTTGATAAAGGGAAAAGTCAACAACTGCAGTAGGGTATTTCAAACATCTGAAAAAGGAGCAAAAGCCCTTTGCAAAAATTCTAATGAAATCAACCAAGAAATATCTTTCCTAGAGGGAACAGACGGCTAACTCCCAAGATAACAGTTACTGACCACGTGCCAGGTCCCCAAATTAGAATCTCTATCCCAGGCAAGTATTTCCTTTAAAAATCCCATACTTTTGAACATAGTGATTAATTTTTAAACTTTTTTTTTATTATGGAAAATTTCAGGCATACATAAGAGCAGAGATTACAGTATAACAAGCTCAATGTACCGATCACCCAGCTTTAACAGTTACCAGTGAGTTGCCTGTCTTGTGTCATTCGTATCCCACCCGTCCACCCCTAGATTATTTTGAACCAAATCTCAGACATTGCATTATTTCATCTCTAAATATTTCAGTGTACTTCTCTAAAAGATAAAGACTTTTATCAAAACCATAACCACAATACCATTATCACACCAAAAAAATTATCAGTAATTCCTTAATATCATCAACTATCCAGCCAGTGTTCACATTTTCACATTTCCTCAGTTGTCTTTTTGGGTTTTATTTGTGCAGTTTGTTT